TTTTTTTAAACACGAAATCATTTGATGGCAAATAGAAGTTTTGTATGTCGTTTCTCTTTGTTTTCGTTATATAGGCACAATACGTTTCGTAAAAATTTCTATATTTATATCAAGCTCATTTTAATAATAATATTTTATTTTGTCACGTAATATATTTGTTACAATTTTCTAAGTATATTCAAAGCGAGAATTAACGAAAGGTTTTTCATATTGTAATCAACTTATTCCTTTATTCGTCGGTTTTTTTTTTTTCTTTTTTTCGAACGTTTCATTAAAGTTGATTTGAATAAATTGATGTAAAAAACCGCGTTACTGCGCAGCGATCTTTTTTTCGTAATATCATGAAATGATAAGCTTGAAAAAAAAAAACATTTGAGACAGAAATCTTAAACTCGTAACGTTTAGATATAGCCACGGTAAATTCCCAATCGCAAGTGATCATAAAAGGCTTCGAGGAATTGTACTTGTTGTTTAGAGCTTGAGAAAACCTAAAAGAAATCTCTCATGGCTAAAGAGAACGATCCCATCTCGACGTGAAATCATGCTTTTCATTGACGTAATAGCGTGATCACTCTCGGACAATCGTTTCTTTCGCCACGATCGGAGCTCTAGAGACAAGGTAAGCCGTTATCGATGCCAATGCAGTATTAAATGTTTCAATGAGTGACTACTACCTGATTATTTCTGATATCTATAATCTTAGTGATGATTGCAATAAACAAATTAAAAAATGATATTATTTCGAATGGATAAACTAATCGATTGAGTCGAATGCTTACTTCAAACGAATTCAAGAATGAAAGTCGATAATATTATATACAATTATATAAATGTACGTAAAAATTCATCATAGGTATAAATAATTTTCGATGAAATTCAATCAAAAACAAATTAACATAATACTTCGTAAACAACAACTTTCAAAGATTTTTCTGATAGATAAATCATTAACGTCAATATCGGCCTTGATCTATGAAATTATAGTAATTTATTGGAGAAATTTAAACGATTAATGCTTGATCCTTCGAGAAACTGAATGTAAAATATCATATTCTTTTATCAAGGCATCGATATCTTTTTTATTTTTTATTTTATTCGAATTATTATATTTTTCTGTTATAATATATATATATATATATATATATATATATATATATATGTATATATATATATATATTGAATTTAATAATATTAATTTGGATTATAATAATATTTGGCACATTTTAATCTACGTATTTGTAAATTCACTGAGATCTCTTTATGATCTTACAAATGTAATTATATCCAAAGTAATGAACTATTTTCAAACACGATCACGAGCTTTGATCAGCTGATTTTCGTAGAAATATAATGCAATTAAAAACAACTTGACCAACTTATGACCAATACCAAACATTAATATTTCTTCTTTTTATTTAATTATTATATATGTGTAGTGTTATTAATATAAATTAATAACAATTATCCGATGAGAGAGAAATTACAGATTATGATAAATTTCTATCTGATTTTCATTTAAATTCACTGACTCCCTTTCTACAACTTTTCTTGTTTTAATAATTTTCTCTTTTATCATATTATAATATATATATATATATATATTATAATAATATTATCGGACAATTTTGATTTAAGTAAATTCATTGATTTCTTTTATATAACTTTTCATATTTCTCGATTTATTTGAAGCATATATTTGTAACACTTATTAATAACTTTAAACGATTAGTTTAAAGTTAATAATAACTACATAATAACTACATAATAACTACCCAAGTTAATAGTAATTACTTAATTTAATAACTACCCAAGTTAATAGTAATTACTTAATTTAATAACTACCCAAGTTAATAATAACTACCTAACAAATATATAAATTTTAATCATTTATAATTTTAAGTATTAACAAAAGAAAATCTTCGTTTTATCTCTGATATTGATTAAAAAAAAAAAAAAAAATCGAATAATATAAATAAGAATCGTTATATCGAATTCAACGATTTCATGAGACGTTCCTTAAATCAGTGCACATGATAAAGGTGAAAAATAATGATGGACCATTCGAGACGACGCAAGTCGAGGTGTCGATGGCTCTTGATCGTGCTAGCCGTCGACCAGCCGCAGACGACCAGCCAAGCTGTGATTCAAAAATAGTACCTCCAAAGATTTGGGGTAGCGACGCGCCGTGACGCACGAGACCGAGTCTCCCCTATTCCCCCGTTCATCCCCTCTCTTAAGCTTTATCCTCTTTTTCTCAAAGTATACGCAACCCAGATGCAATTCGCCGACGCGTTGCTCGTTCTCTCTCTCTCTCTCTCTCGTTTTTTCTTATATTTCTTATCTCTCATCTGCACCAATTTAACCTGTTAACCTGAAAGATAATGTATCAATGAATACGAATATATATATATATATATATATATATATATATATATGTATATATATATATAATATATATATATATATATATATATATATAATTTATTTTTATTACAAATAATATTGTACACAAATAAAAAGTTTTTGATAAATTATTAAAAAAAAAAGAAACAGAAAAATAATTGGAAAGTATAATGCTTTTTTTTAGATAACATAATTTATTATTAATATTAGAAACAATACTTTTTAATTCTGTATTGTGTATGAAATTAATTTCTATACAGAATAAAATTATGAAGAGACGGAAAATTATTTAAATAAATTAAATTGTATACGGTAAAAAAAAGAATTAAGATGAACAAAATGAATCAGATGGATTCTAGATGATATTAAAGATCATTCAATCATTCTTTATCGAGACTTTTTAGCCTAATACTTTCTTTTTTTCTTTGTTAGTTCTAAAACTACAAGTCTAGGAACTTTTCTATAGTTTGACAAAAATTACATCAAAGAATTTCGAAAAAGATTAATTAATATTTAAAATCATCTAAGAATCTTCACACTCGCTCTATATAATTTCTTCTTAACGGTATCGAGTAATTTATTAATTCTTTTTATCACACGAGAGAAGAGTTAAATCTTCGTGATGAGTTAACTCGTTTTTTTCCGTTAAACATTTATTGAATAATTATTAATTTATTCTTTTTTCATTGTAATGTGAAAATAATGTACGAGAATCAAAGATATATATGTGTTGAAGGAAACAATAAACGAGTCAGTGGAATAAAGAATGACAAAAAGAAAGAAAGAAAAAGAAAGAGAGAGAGAGAGAGAGAGAGAAAGAAAGATAACGAGGGAAAAAATAAAAAGAGAGAGAGAGAGAAAGAAAGAGAACGAGGGAAAAAAGAAAAAAGAAAAAGAGAGAGAGAGAAAGAGAGAGAGAGAGAAAGAGAGAGAGAGAGAAAGAAAGAGAACGAGGGAAAAAAGAAAAAAGAAAAAGAGAGAGAGAAAAAGAAAAAACACATATAAACTGTATAAACTTAGATATAAACTATGCGCCAAAGTGCCCTTTGTTAAGAAACGTAGAACATTCTCGCCAAGAAACAGAGTATTTTTTCTTTTTTTTTTTTCTTTTAACATTTGGCGAACTTCCTACAATATCGTACGCACGTGTGAACCTTGTGGAAACAAAGGTAGCTTCATGTGAGACTTTAAACTGTGCTTATATATATATGTATGTACACACATTTTTATACCTACATATACATACGTATACGTATCAAATATGCATGTGACCATTGTTAAAACATTTAATGAAATTCTTAGATTATGTTATTATTACATCAATGGTTTGAATGATAATGTTTCTTTCAAGACAAAAGTTGAAACTTTCCTTGATAAATCGATTTTATTTAATTTTTTTATTTTATAATCAAATCTTCATTTTTCTTTCCTAGAAAAATGATTTTATTCGGAACTTATAATATAATTTACGTATAGTTGATATATGTAAGTTTTAGATTAGATAATGACTAATGTCGAAATTTGCAGGATATCTAAATAAACAATATTGTATTTTCACAATATTACTTTTATATACGTATATATTATATTTTATTTGTAACATAATTATATTATATAACTGTACGTTATATATAATATAGTGTAATATATTTAATACATTATATCTACCATTATACTATATAATTTTATATTGTTTTTAGAATTTATACTTAGCGAATATCAATCTTCTAATATGAATTAATATAAAATAAGATTTAAAAAGTACAAATATACAGTGGTGGCACAAAATTTCCTATTAATAATATTAAAAATCAATTACTTTTTTTCGAGGCTAATTTTTTACAGCTAGATTTAGAAGCTATACTTGTAATTTTAAGATCTGTAAATGAAAGTCTGGAGAAAATGTTACGAATTTTTTTAATTTCTTAAATCGGCCTTGGGTCAATCTAGGAATTTATGAATCAGCGAATACAACCATGTAATATCAAAATTATAATACATGACATTTTAGAAGATTAAATAAATTTACACTCTTTCTTTCTAATTTTATTCTTTATTATTATTATTATTATTATTATTATTATTATTATTATTATTATTATTATTATTATTATTATTATTATTATTATTATTATTATTATTATTATTATTATTATTATAACTATTATTATTATTATTATTATTATTATTATTATTATTATTATTATTATTATTATTATTATTATTATTATTATTTTTGTTGCCGTTAGCAAACATTAATGTTGCCATTAGCAAAGCAACCATAAATAATAAAAAAATGCACTGTCCTTGGTCGCTTAGTTATGTTTATTTAATATTTGCGAAAATATTTTATCGTGTAAAGCGATGTATTTATTTTTGTACATCTTTTGAGTAGATTATATCTAAACCAATGTAGATATACTTATCTAAGAATATGCTTAATTTTATCAATTAAAACAAATTTCGTTTCTATTATTATTCATTTTTTAGTATTGTATGGATCTAAGAATATCTCTCTCTCTCTCTTTCTCTCTCTCTCACTCTCTATCAATGACAAATAAATATTTTAACTTTGTTCTTTTTTTTTATTATTTCAGATTCCTTGGAATTATCGTTGCCTGTCGGTAAGTTGACTGCTTTTGTTCGACACATAGAAAGAAGTTAGAATCGAAATCCTAAAATTAAGCGGCACGCTTACTCATAATGTAACCAACGTTTGGACGTTTACGATCGAATAAGATGATCTTGGGGCTAGGTTATTCGAATTTCGACGGACGCTCTATTTTCATGTGTCGTAAAGGCCGACAGGGCCTCGTGACCAGGCTCGTTTACAGTCTATTAGTTTACACCTCGATCATAAGCCGGTACAGCGGTTGTATGTACCAGTACATGCTGCGGTGTGCCGAAAATATACTTGACAGTCGAGCAACGCGTCAGACCATTGCCGATAAAATTCTCAGATATGTGGGCTCAGACTTTTAGATGGAGAACATCCCTCTTATAATTCATACTTATTTATAAGCGCCGATGTTCGAAGTGTATCGGTACTCTTTCTCTCTCTATACTTCTATCTCTACCTCAACTTTTCTCTATCTCTATCTCTTTATCTCTCTTTCTTTATCGATCTCTCTTTCTCTCTCTCTCTCTCCCTCCCTCTCTCTCTCGTCTTGAATCAAAAGAGAAACGTTCTTTAGAAATTTCAACAAGTAACTAAAATTAACTTTGCTTTGACTTTACGTCTATTTTTTTTTCTTCTTTTCTCTATTTCTTTTTTCTTTTCTTTTCTTTTTATTTTTTCTCTTCTTTTTTCTTTAAGATGAAAAAACGCAATACTGTCAACTAGAAAGGTCGATGATAAATATAAATAAAAAAAAAAAAATGAAAGAAAGACAGAAAAAAAAGTAGAAGGCGTAGTTGATGGTTAACGAAACGATAAAAGATACAGTCTCTTTTAATGCGCATAGACGTTTCTGAACGATTGTGTCTATCATGACGTAAATCCCTCTTATGTAAGCCGTAAGTTATTGTCAGTAATTTTGACGAATACGTAGACGGATAATGTGACATCTGTTCTAGGGGTGACTTCGCGCTTTCAGCAATTATTAACGTTTCGGCAGATGCAAAGCGCTAACAAGCGCTCGTCCGGTTACTCATGAGATAGTTAAAGTTACTTTTTACGTTTATGTACACGTGCCTTTATGTGTTTATGATCTTACTAATACATCTAATGCATATATATATACATAATGCATACATATATATATAATAGATTCATATATACATACATATGCACATCATTTCATAATATGAATATACATAAATATACTAACATAACATTATAACACATATATACTTACGTATATATAATTTCATACATGCATATATATATATATATATGTATATATGTATTAATATATACCAATATATATATTAATTAATATATATATCAATGTTTAGTCATATCTATCAAAAAATTATATGATATGAAAAAGTTATAATATTAGTTATATTAATTTAATTATACTATACTAACAATAACTTATATAGAAACTTAAAAGATATAAAAAGAAAAAAAACAATCGGTTTAAAAAATAATTATTAATATTAAATAAAAGTTATCATAACAAAATGAAGCTTACAAAATACAAAAATATGTATAAGTGTGTAACTTACAGTTATATGACATTGTAGATAACATGATATATATGCACAGTATATATCCGTACATATAATGCTTGTGTGTATGTGACTGTGTGTGTGTGACACATTCGTATCATAAATACGCACGTTACCGTTGTTTGTTCCGTCATTTAAACGTTTTAATATTTCATTGTTATTAACATTCATTGTAGTACGTCATCTATTCAAGATATGAATTTAGCTAATCAACATACTGTATATGTATCGCATTAATACAAGTAAATAATACAGTAACTTTCTGAAAACTATTGCACAAAATATAATAATTTGCATTATTTCGATATTACACCTTCTACTTTTTTAAAAATCGTTAAAAACGTTCTTATATACTTAGGTATGAAACTTTTTTGATCGATAATACTTCACATTATTATTATTATTTCTTTTTGTTATTTTATATATATTGTTTATATTTTATTCTTTATTATTATTATTTTTATTATTATTATTTTTATTATTATTTATTTTTATTATTATTATTATTATTATTATTATTATTATTATTATTTTTATTATTATTATTATTATTATTATTTTAAAAATATTGCCGTTAGCAAAGTAACCATAAATAGTGAAAAAATGCACTGTCCTTGGTTACTTAGTAATATTTATTTAATATTTGCGAAAATATTTTATCGTATAAAGCGATGTATTTATTTTTGTATTTCTTTCGAGTCGATTATATCTAAAGCAATGTAGATATACTTATTTAAGAATATGCTTAATTTTATCGATTAAAACAAATTTCGTTTCTATTATTGCTCATTTTTTAGTATTATATGCATCTAAGAATCTCTCTCTCTCTCTCTCTCTCTCTCTCTCTCTCTCTCTCTCTCTCTCTCTCTCTCTCTGCATGTGTGTGTATTTATATGTAATTGCTTCACACGGATGTCCTTCCTTGTTCATAAATTATATTTTTCAAAGTCATATAGGCATGTATATGTATATATATATTTACATTATATATCATATTATTATCGTATATATCTAATAATAATTACAACTTATTATAAATCTATAAAATCACTTTCCATTTAATTTTTTTTATTCATAATGAAAGATAAAGGAAAGTCAGCTTCATTGATCGAATTAATTTTCTTTAAAATATAACAATTGTAACGAGAACGTATGTATTTACGTTACTCAAAACTGAATCTTTATTCATTTATTCATTGATTCTCCTTCCCATGACTAAAGACGATAATGATAAACGGAGGTCATCAAAATAATTTTATAATTATAGTAACACATTATCATATTTATGACCCCTGACGTTAAATTTGATGATTTTTTCTTTTTCTCCCAATCGTTATAGTAAATGTAATATGTGAAGCATTGTAAAAGTATTGGTACAACATAATTACACGAATATTATATGTAATTATTTGTAACTGGTATAAGTCATCTATCTCACGTTATTTCAGAGATCAAATATACAATAAAAAAACTTTATCTTTTCTTATTTTTCGCTCTTAAATTTTGAAACGTGTCTGTGCCTATATGTGATCTGTATACCCTACAATAATAATACTCTGTAGGAAAAATAATTATTATAGTATTTAAAATACTTAAAAAATTTTATTTATATTCTCTCTTTTTCCCTTACTTACAATTAGTTCCTTTCTTCTTTCTATTATTTTTCTCATTCATTTTCTTCCTTGCTTCTGCACGACCGTCCATCTAATTAGTTTTCTTTCTCTTATTCACAAAAATTCCGTAAATCTTCCCTTCTGATTTCTCCTAAAATCTATTATCTTTTTCCTCATTATCACGTCTAAATCTCGCTATGATCGATTGATCGATCCATTTCTCTTCATTTCATTGGCAAACTCTTTGCTCTTCTCCCTTAATTCATTGTATTTCTTTTTTATTATTTTATATTATTACGATCGCCATTTTTTTCTCTGTTTTCCGCCAGAGTTTTTTATCAGGTTTAAGTCTCCTATGCATCTTATTGCAAAATATTTTACATTTATGCCCTGCTCCTAATAGTATTTATTTCTCTGATCTTCCGATTTATATCTTTTCTCCTCATTTTTGCTATCCATTTTTTTTCTATCGTTCTAAAACTATCTTGTTTATATTCATTTGTTCTCGATTTTTTTCATAGCTTACAATTCTTCTACTCCTGATTCTATTCTTATTTTATACACTTTTGTTTCTTTTATTACTATATACATACGTAGGCGTATTAAAAAGATCCATTTTATAAAGCCAACATTGTGCTTTGCTACATTCACAGAAATTCGTGAATTTCAGAATTAAGACTTTCTCAATTCACAGAAATTCAAAATTGTTATTACAGATATTAGAAGAAAACAAAAGAGTGAAAAAAGAATAAGCTCAGAATTACAGAACGGCCCGTATTACTTTTATATAGAAGCATTTTTAATTTAAAAAAATGCAAGAAATCTGTATCATCAAAATATCTCAAGGTCTGGGTATTACGTGTCTTTATCTTACATATTATATCATTCGTATCGTATATCGATCCTAACATAGTTAGACGAGAAAATAAAGAATCTTCAAATATGTATTTCTTTTCCTTTTTCTTTTCCTTTTTTTTTCTTTCTCTTTTTTCTTTTCTTTTTTCTCTTTAAAAAGAAAGAACGAAATCATTACAAAAGCAAACAAAGCAAATAAAAATATATTGTAAATCGCGTTTCAATATTGCTCTCTTTCTCTCTCTCTCTCTCTCACCCTATTTATCTATCTATCTATCTATCTACCTACATTGCATTGAACTGCGTAACTCGTGTCTATTGGGCTTATCTACGACAAATGACCCCCAGCGAACGAACAACTGAAAGGGAAAGATCAATGAAGATGTCAAGAATGATTGGAAGAAAATGAAAGAGGGATAAGGGGAAAGGGAAGATATATATATATATATATGCATATGTATATAGGAAGATATATATATGCACAGGAAGAATCATGCGCACACATACACAGAACGAATAAACAAACAAACATACACATGTACAAAATATTGAGCAATAAGGAGTCAATATCGTTTCGTTTCTTACTTTCTATATATGTATTTTATATACATCGATGTTTACATACAAACATATAAACACATATACACTTCCACAACAATACTATTATACCTCTGTAGAGTGTATATGACACATACGCACTTGATGTTACTCTATAATGTATTTTTACATTAAACATTTATCAGAAATTAAAAGTTGTTAATTGTTTTCTTCCTTAAATTCGTTTTGAATGCCGTAGAGTCATTCGCGTGATTGATATTCAATTTTGTGGAATTCATTTCATTTTCTATGACATCATTTAATTTTGAAATTACATATTCATATACTTATATTTTTTAATGTCTTATTTCAGTTTCTTGTCATAAAATTAATTGTTAGTTTATATATTTATAACTATACTATATAAATACTATATTCCTTCGTATAAAAAGTACACTATTTAAAAAAGAAAACTTTGTATATTATAGTTAAAGATAATATAATCTTCTTTTAGACACTAAAGAAAGTTCGATTGTATAAAATAAATATACAATCTTATATTTTCTAAATATATATATTTTAAAAATTTCTTTTATAATATTGATAAAAAGAAATTAATTTGTATATGTTATTAAAGAAAAGAAAAAAATTATGAAAAGGGTATTATATGAATAAATCGATTTATGTAAAATCGATTGAGTGTTCAACGTGCAATTTCATGCTAAATCATTTTATTAATGGATTATAAAAGGAATTGATCGAGTCACGATATCGAGTTGATTTTATTGCTATTGAAATAATGAAAAAAGGAAATGAAAAAGACGATGTGTCATTTATCACGAAACAACGGCGTGCTTCTCTTACGAAGAAGGTGCTGAGACACGTAAGAAGTGACCACTTAGACGATGAGAGATAACGTTTAACAGTTCATTTATACTGATATCTGAGAACTAGTTTATTTATCATTTCTTTTTTTTTTCTTTTTTTTTTTAATCGTCAAAAGAATTACGTGATAAATTGAAAGTTCATATATAGATTTATACTTGATCGCATTAAAGTATTACAGACAGATCAATCGAGAGATCCATGATGTTTCGAATTATATATTACCCGTTTTATGAGGATTATTTACAGAATTTAGATCATTTAATAACAATTGTCAATATTCAAAAAAAAAGAAATATCTAAGTTTATATATCTTGACACGATTATATATAATTACATAATAAATTGCAGATAGTAATTTGCATTATAATATATGAAAAATTATTATTTATGAAGTAAAAATTGTCTGGGTTTAGAATAAAATTACTACATAATTTACAATTATAAGATACTTTTCACTTAAAATATAGAAAATGACCTGACTATTTTTAAAGTCGCCTTATTCGACATAAATTAGTATAAAAACAAAATGCATTTAAATATTATGGAAATATTTCAGTGCATATATCCGTATATAACCTATAGTCCAATAATAAAGAAGAGAAGTTTTGCCGCATAGCGAGTTAAAAATAAGATAGTTCACATTGGCTATTCTCAGCACGTGTTCTCTTACTTATTGCTTTATCTTGTCCTCGTGCATTGAACATCATCATACCTCGTGTGCAAATACGACAAATGTTATAAATTTCATTTCTAAGAGAGAAATTAATGCGATTCATTTTCTCTTTCAACAAATTTTCATGAAATTATGTATAACATTAATCTCTCAAATTACAATCAATATATAGCTTTTATTTATATCTATAATTCCATGTATAAGTTATATAATAATATTACAAAATTATGTTGGTATATAATATAATATTTCATTAAATATTATATTATTATATTATTAATATAATATTTAATAAATAATATATAATAAAAAGAGTTGTTAAGTATATACAAAAGCATAATAAAAAATATATATGAATAACAACTTTCATACATATGGTATACATAATATAATTTTATGTATATTTTCAATGACTTTTATATACAGGAAGTTCAAAAAAAAACCATTCCATATTTATATGATAGACCAGATACACCATACTGAGTAAAAAATTTTATATAAATATAAGTTAAAAGGTTAAACATTTTCAAGATATAAACACTTTGTGATTAACTGGAGATTGCAAATTTTATAATTATACAAGTACGAAGTATCATGCTGAAAACGTCACTACTTACATCGATTTTCTTGGAAATGTTAAATTTTTGGGTAGATATTATGAGAGATGACCTCATTAACTCTTTAATATTCCCAAATCGATTTTCTGAGAATTGCTTATCGCAATTTTTTGATGAATACATTCTACTTTTAATACTTCTATTCATAAAGTATATGATTTTGACTGAAAAACTATCGATCTGTTGAATGCATGATGGAAGTCCAATTCATTTCATTCGTAATGTCAGAGAACACTCAGACACGGTGTTCGGCCAAAAGTGAATTGAATGTGGTGAATCTGTTTTATAGATTCTCTGATTTAAATATCCTGGACGTTTTTGTATAAGAATATTTGAAAAGCATAATGTACTCCTTGCCGATAAATTAATCATTGTTAAAAGAATTACGTAATTGAATCAAGCATGCTTGTGAAATAATATAATAGAGACCTAGAATTTTTGAAAGACTCTAAGAAGTAGATGTCATGCGTATATAGAAGGAGGACATGACATAATGAAGTTCCACATTGTGGAACATATTCTGTAAATATCGGATAATAAGTCGATCATGATGCTAACATATAAAAATGTGTATATCACAGAAACGGTTGACCTTTTGACCTATGTTTATATAGATTTTCTACTCGGTATATTGTGTCCTATCTAACGTGTAAATATGGAATGATATTTTTTTCAACACCTTGTAAATATGTTACATATATACTATACTATATACTATATATATATATATATATATATGTTGTATATGTTATACAAGACATCTGTTAAATATAAATGTATCTATGTACATATATATACAGGATGTCTTTCCTTTAACTCACAACGTTGAAATATCTCATGAGTGACTGAAGCTATAAAAAAAAAATTCATAGATGTTATTTGATATGAAGAAGTAACCGTAATACTGTGATCTTTACGTGATCTTGAATGAAAAAAAATTTATAAAAGTTGAACAATCAACACGAAATAAAATAATTATTGAACCATTTTTTATCATATATATAGCAACTCGCATACACACATTCGCGTATTCACATACTTGTATGCATTCTGCACATACCTTACATCATTATTTTGCGCTTACCTTCATGGTCTAATATAACTTTTTATTGTTTACATTCATTGACAAAATATTTCTGTCATAAAAACTTATATTACGTTATAAATGACTTTCTAAATGAGTTATTAAATAAATGTACCTTTGTGCTACATCATTAAACTTATCTCAATGTCACTTACAGTACCACATAAAAAACAAATTATATGATACTATTTAAAAAACTGAATGTGACCTCGATTTTTTTTATCGAAAAAGTATATTTTATTGAGATGTCTGAAAAATCTGTAGATTTCTTTTGATATTTAAGTATAAATTTATTTAATAAAAATTAAAAAATAAAAAAGTCTCGTGAAATAGAGTAGTAGTGTCAAAACAAATAACAAGTAGTGTCAACCCGATGTTGTCAATCTAATTTAAGAAAAAGCACAGTCACGATCATTATTTTTAGGCAGATCAGTTTAATGTACGTACAACATACTTACATACATACATACATACATACATACATACATACATACATACATACATACATACATACATACATACATACATACATACATATATACATACATACATACATACATACATACATATATACATACATATATACATACATACATACATATATACATACATACATACATACATACATACATACATACATACATACATACATACATACATACATACATACATACATATAAATGCGTCCTTTGCTACTAAGCGTAAATACTTTCGACTTTGTTTCTAAAACAATTCTAAAACATTGATTTGTTTTTTAATGTCTTATAATAATCTTTAATTGATCGTAATTCCTATTTGCAGAATATATATTTCCATTAATTTGAGATTGCATATCAATATCCATTTTCATTTACTCGATACTTCATCAAATCGATGTTTATTGAAAAGCATTACGTTTTTTCTTTCTTTTTTTTTCTTGTTAACCCTATATAATTTCAAATTAATCATATTTAAAAAGAAATAAAATCGAGACGTTACGAAATCGAAATCTTGACGACGTATAACTAAAGTTTCTCATACGATGACGAATAACTTATATAGTTGATCGATCGATCGAAATTGAGGGTAGAAATCTTGTCGGCTCGTACCGTACATGTGCACTCTATGAAAATATAGCTAGTCAATACTTACTAACTCACATGCTATATACATACTCTTAGAGCAAGAAAATTCCAATAAAAAAAAATATAAAAATAATACGAAATTCTATAGGTATGTATTTGTCAGAAGTATGTGAATATAGACAATTAGAACAAAAATTGTTTAAAATACAAACCGTTTAATTATTTTTTCTTTTTTCAACACTGTAACTATAACCTACTTTTTATCACTGTCTATCAATTTGAAATGTACTGAAAAGAAAAAAAGAAAACTCTTATCTATTCGTTATTATTTTTAATTGAATTAATTTTAAATAATAAATAAACAAAAGGAGCCATTAATTAACGTTACTCTCTATACTGTAATAATTACAATTTCGATAATTGTATTGTAAAAAAAAAAAATTTTAAATCCCTCATTTTTTCAACAAATGTTAAATATATATTTATTTTGTCTAATATAAAATACAGCTAATTCAATAAAGACATGTTTGTATTTTCTTTTCAGATCAGCCGGTCGACAGCGTTTATATGATATGTGGCGTGCTAATAGCTATGGTATTGGTCGGTGTTATCATCGTCCTACTTGCCGTAACAATCAGGTAAAAGGATTCTCCTAATATAATTTACTTTAAAATAATATGACATTGTTAAATTTGATAGTATTTATAATCAGATAATAACAGTAGATACATTAATCGTTTATCTGTATCAATATCAAATTGAAATGTTGCTTTTGAACTAGAACTAAATGAAATTCATCATGATTACTTGTTTTTCTTCGTAGAATTAAATTATCGACTCACCGTGATTTTCACGAAAAAATTAACTTTACAACAATCAAGTTACAAACATTTCGATTTTCTTTTTTTCCTTTCATTTTTTACACTAAAAATTTTAGTATAAAAAAATGAAATAAAATTTATAATTTCGATCGATCTAACATTGCATTTCTAATCGAATTAATTTTATCGACCTAATGATGAACTGATCTTATGTTCACTGAGATCATTGAGAAAACTCAATAGATTATAACTTGTTTACCGTCATTAATAAGTCAATAAAATGTACAAAAAAAGAAATTCCTTCAGATATCGTAATTAATGAGGACATATAAATACCCGGCGATCTTGAAAAAGAAAATATTTTCTTGCTCGATAACATTCTGTAATTGTCACTTAATTACTCGATCATTGAAGACAAATCGCGTGTACTCGTTTGCTAAAAGTTCATACCCAATTAGGGTCAACCACGAAGTGATCCCACATCGTCGGTACAGTCAATTAACACCGTCTGCATTGTATCACACGAATCGTTATAGATATATAATATATAAATATATAAATATATATAATATATATATATGTGCATATTTACATTTTATATATATATAATGTGTAATAATATATATGTATATATATAAATGTGTATGTGTATTAGACGTATTTCTGTATATAAAACGACGATAAGAATCATTAATGTATTTCTATCACTCTTGCATAAAGACACGCTTACTTACTAATGAACGATGGTTAGCATATTTCAGATGAAAAATCCAAGTTATCCGCGTTATTGAGAGAATTTCCAACAACGTGACAAACGACTTAACTTTCGTAATGGAAAATAACAATCTTCGAGAAAAATTACGTCAAACAAATGTTATTTTCCTTTTAGTTATTTTTATTTCTTCCGATGATATTTTTGAATAAATGACATTTTTACATCTAACGAATCCCCGGGTATTCTCTTTACTTATTTTTACTTCTTTTAATTCTGAACAAATGACATTTTTCACAGTCGATCGAAATTTATTTTCCTTTTATTAGTTATTCTATCAACCTTATAACCTAAGTTATTAATTAAGTTAATCAATGTAAAATATTTAAAGGGCAACCTGTTATAACTATCGATATCATAGCTTATTTTTCTACGATATCCTATTTTTGTAATAGAGCAAAGGAGAAGAGCTATGTGGTACGGTCGACTACACCATGTCGACTACACATACATTTGGTTTCTTTGACAATTACGTTACAGATAATACGATGACGTTGCTTTATACGATATATCACGTCATCGTCCTCGACTTTATAGAATATATACATATTTTCAATAGACGTTTTTCTTTTTTATAGTTGCGTCATAGATACCAACTTCCTCTCAGAAATCTAAAATATCTCGATTATATGCACGTGTGAACATTTCTAAAGAAACATTTTTCCAATAAGATCCGTTAAGAGTAATTAGGATCAGTCTCGAAGCTTAGCTGCGATTAGTCCTGAAATGGCAATGCGATGTAAAGGTGCATATCTATGTGTTTGTATATATGTGTGCGAATATGTGTCTGAGCATGTGTAAGAGGATGTATATGAGTATATGTGTGTGCATGAGAAAGAGAAACAATGATAAAAAAAGAAAATAAGAAGAACGTGAAAATGGAACGATTAAAAATAACAATCACTTTGCAATTCTATTTCTTAAAGAGGATTAGACAGGATAATAAGTTAGAATATATATATATATATATATCTTTAGTATGAATGATAAATGCATGCAATCTGATCCTAACTTCATTTGGCCGTATCATTCGATAATTATAAACTATATAAATTTAGCTCTTACATTTGATATTCAATAAATAATGATTTTAAAAATCATTAACGAATGGTATGCGTGACGCTTTCAGTTTGTTTTTGCTCATAATTATTTCATATTTAATAAACATTATTAGAACACTTTTTATCATCGAAATTACTCTCGTATATATTAATATGTCGATAATATCTTAATACTATTATTATCTAGGCCATTAACTTAATTAAAACAACTCGCGTGCTACGAAGAATAGATACTTATCGTGTAGTTATTTCACGTGCTAATTTCCAAATTAATTCGTGATTCGATAAAAAAAAATTTCACGAAGTCGTCCATTGGTTGTTATCTTAACCTTATTTTCTTACTTTCCTTTTTTTTTTATTACACATACCTCATTTTTTAAATCGTATCATTTATTTTCGTTGCAACGAGAAATTCAATTTTATTTCGTACTTTTATACAATTTTGATAGAAAAAAAAATCATCTAATCACAAATATTTATAAACGTGTACCGATTGTGTTTCTCGCGGTTTATCGTGACTCATTAAACGTTTATCGCGATATCGAGAAATACTTAAATCAGCACTGATAAATTATTAATAAAAGATACTTATATATCAATTAACGGAAAGACAAAGAAAAAGAATGATAAAGAGAAAGAGAAAGAGAGAGAGAGAGAAGAAAAAGAGTAAGAGCGGAAATGAAGGATAAAATATATGGATTTCTTGGGATTTCTCAAGATTTAACAGAAATATAATTATAGATTATAACAAATAGTGTATTTATATTTCTTTTTTATTTTCTTTTATTTATTTTTTTTATCATGACTATATACGTTTAAGAATTCGGTAATTTTGTATTCTTTCATTTTATATTATTTGCTCTTAACAAACCAATTTTTTATTTTTATATATCAAATAAAACATTATTATTTTGATTGAATATCCCTATTTATCTCAAAAGTATTATTCAAATGGGTGTATTTAGCACATAACACACACAACTACACAACACACTTTTGCGCATGAACCGCGTCTCTTGGATCCGATCACGTATATACACTTATACACATTCATTACTAACAGAAATAGACTTTAATTAAACCGGCCACATTTATCGTACATTTTGTGGCCCGTAATAGATATGTCTCGCACGAGGTCGCCACGAAAGAATCAATTTTGATGGTCTGTTAATTAAGTTAGCAATAATAGCCATTGTCATATATTTCCTTGTTTGTAGAGTATTAAAAAGAAGAAAAAAAGAAAGAATACAGAAAAAAAAAGAAACGTAAAAGATCACGATTCTTTCATAATTACATCAAAAATTATTTTCTCGCCTACTAATTGACAATGTTTTTACTTTCATACATTATATATATTGGTCGACATAACGACAATTGATGAAGAACAACAAATTTGAAATGACTTTTAGCAACTGTTTCTAACGTTTTATTATTCTTTCGAAATTTTATCTTCCAACTGTTTACTTCTATTATAATAATCGCATGACGTATGTACAACATAAGAAGATATTATCCAGTATATACATACAAAAGAATATATATAAATACATACATATATTTATATATATATATATATATATATGTATTATGTTGAATGTATGTACATATATGCATGTATAATGTATATATATGGATGTATGATGTATATATAGTATGTACATATATATGTATATTAAGTATATTTATGCATATATATATTATATGTATGCATATATATGTATGTTTTATATATAGATATAATATATGAAGGTAAAAGGCAGCGTTCCTTGTTTCCAAGCGTAACGTTGCACGAATCGTTTTGGAAGGGGCCTCTCTATCTCTCTCTATCTCTCTCTCTCTCTCTCTCTCTCTTTCTTTCTCTTTTCTCGTTCACTCGATTCGTGGCCTTCCCCAAGGAGCGTCGGTCGTATACACACACATATATACAGCTAGTCTGTACCTCTTTATTTCTCTCTTTCTTGCTGATATTCTCTCTCTCTCCTCTTCGGAAAAAACGTCATATGCGCGCGACAAACCGTTCGAATTTCATAAAGCAGCGCCGCGTAGCGACGATAACGACGATCACTCTCTCTTGTTGCGCCAATGAGAACAACCGTCTAGCGTGACGTCAGAGTGATCTATATAAGAGGCTTACGCGCCCTTCTCGGGCTCAGACTCAAAACACGAAAGAGACGGAAAGCAAGTCGTCGGCTGGTTCGCAGTGAGTGTGTCTATCGAGGGCGCTCGCGTGCGCGCTTGCCGTCGAAGAAACGAAGAGTATATAAAAGAACAAAAAGTAACAATAAGGGAGTGTGCGTGTAACGATATACGTACAAGTATATATATACATATATATTTATACAGATATATATATATGTATTCATTCGAGCATTGACTGCTTTACAAGGCGTTTCTATGCGTTCCATGTCTCATCGCGTGGTAAAAAGAGTGCTCGAGGAAGGTGTATTGTGTCTCTAAGAGAAATTCTAGAGAGAGAGAGAGAGAGAAAGAAAAAAAGAGACAGAGAAGAAAAAGAACGCTAAAGGGCACCCTCGTACATGCGTATCGTGGTTTCGATCCGAGCAACATGTCATCTTTAAAAAATTAGCTTGAAATTGTAAACTTGATAAAAGAGAGAGAGTGAGAGAGAAAGAGAAATAGACTGACGACCGATTTTCTACGGAACTCGAAACGAGATAGAACGAAATAGAGTGAAAGAGAAAGACATCAAAGATGGTTGGAAGCAATGGTACGATGATAGCCATACGGCTTGTTCGCAGCAAACTAAGGAAAAGGGAGGAGCATCATTCAAATGTCGTTCATCCCGAGAATGACACTGTCGTACAAACGGCAACGGTCTCGGCATCCTCAGCGACGATTTCAACGATCGTCTCCACATCGCCATCGTCTCAGCTGGGCAACGAGCGATGCTTGGCACAGGTGACCACCGGCGATGGTACTTCCCCTCCTTCCCCCACCGCCGTAACAACGGTCACCACCGCCACCACCACTACAACCACCGCTACGAGCATCGAGCACGACGGTGCTTATCCGATTGCCAGCACGCAGGACCAATTCGTCTGGCAGTTCCCGCCGCCTTACCCGCCACAGCAATATACATTGTCCTATAACGACCAGGTAAGTCTTCTCTCAATTTTTATATCTTTTCCAAATTTTTTTCATTAAACTCAAAATTTCCTCCATTCTAATAATCCCTCTTACTCAATTAATATTAATTTTCCTAAATAAAATATATCGTACGCTTTATTTATTTGCAATGTTTACATCGACCTCTCTAACTTCTTACCGACTGCGATTGTATGTAAAATGTTTTTTTGTTGAGCGATAGTTTACCTCAATTTGAAGAATTTGAAAAAAAAAAGAAGAAAGAAAGAAAGAAAGAACAAATAATATAAGCAAAGAAACGTCGAAATGTTTTAAACGTTTGATTAGCTGCGTTTACGTTATAATTATGCTATACAAGTGTACAATGAACGTCGATGCACCATCTGTTCAGAAACACTTGCGTTATTATTTACTAATTCGTTGATGGTGATTCTCTAAGAGAGAAACCTTACGTAGTTTCCAAGTTCGAGCCAGTATGTCTGCCGTAAGAGAAGAATGATTCGTAAAATCAACTATCGTTTAATAGTGTAAAAAAAAACGAAGCGCAAGGACAGTGACCCCTGATACGCTGTGATGGCTCCTTCTCCTCTTCCTCTTCCTCCTTCTTTTCCTCCTCTTCCTCCATCGTTGCCGAGCCTCTCTTTATACCTTTGCTTGTACTATTTTTGTGACGATCGAACTGTCTCTCGTGAGAATATATTATCTTTCGAATTTTTTTTTCTTTCGTTTCTTTTGTCTTTTTTTAGTTTATTTTATTTTTTTTTACTTTTTTATATTTTCAATTACTTTTTTTTCTTTTTCTTTTTTCTTTTTTTCCTTCAAAACTCTCTCTCCTTCTCTTTCTCTCTCTCTCTCCTTCTCTTTCTCTCTCTCTCTCCTTCTCTTTCTCTCTCTCTCTCCTCCCTCTCTCTCTCTCTCTCTCCCTCACCTTCTCTCTCTCTCCACATCTAATAATAAATACGTTTCTGTATTCTGAGTTCGAAGATTTTGAAAAAAAAGGGAATGTAAATAAGTTGCGTCAATCCTTTTTTTTCTTTTTTTTTTTTTTTTCTTTTTATAAATACATTCGACTACTTGCATTAATTTCCTATTTATATTAGCATAATATATTCATATTATCTAGTAGTATACATAAAAAATACTTAACCAGATGGAAAAATGTTACGAATTTTAATGTAAATTCAGTAAAAATAGATTGATATTTCGATAGCCAAGACGATTTGTGTTGCCGATATAAACATTTACGTTACTTTATGAAATTGAAAGGTATTAATAAATATATATCATTTTCTCAACGTCACGTTTACTTCTATTTTTAATAGTTGCTTTTGAATTTGTATCTCTATACATATATATTATCGAAAATAAGGCGTAAGTTTACAAAGATCATTAATCAAATAATGCAATTAATACGTTAATATAATATCGAAGATACAATAAAGAATCGGCTGAAAATTCTTAAATTATTAATTTTAAAAATCAATCAACTTTTTCGAGACTTTTCAAGATAATTCTTTTTTCTGTTTGTAAAATTACAAGCCTAGTAAAATTATCTTTTTTTTTTCTTTTTTCTTTTTTAGCTTAAAAATCCTCGAATAAAGGAGTAATTGATTTTTTAAATTATTTAAGAACTTTCGATCACGATTGTATATTTATATTTATATATTAATTGTATGTATATATTTATTAATAATCAATTAGATTCAAGGAACGAAGTATGAAAATAAAGTAGATAAGTGAAGTCTTTAACTATTCCGATGATTAATAAAACAACTATATCATCAATACTATTGATTTAGCAAGGACAACATGTATGGTATATGGTCGAACAAGTAAAACAGTCATTGTTGCTTATCGAATGAAATCACAAGATTGCGATATTCGGATAGAAAGAAATTTTATCGACCGCTGGAAAAATTCTTGACAATATTATTCTTTCATTTTACTATTAGTTCCTATATCTTATTCAAATTCCAAAACATTGCCTTTACTTTCCTAAAGGAGAAAAAAATACAGATATTATATAATATAATCGTTACATGCGATATCGTTAAATTATTATCAAACTTCTCCAAATAATTAATTTAATGATTGCACAAATTCATCTTATCTCTTAATCAATATTTCTGTTCGTTTAACTTTAATTTTAATATCATGTTTAATTTTAATGTCACCTATTTTTCTTGTTTCTTCTTCTTATTATTATCATCATTTTTTTTCTTTTTCATTTCGTAGAAATTTAAACTCAAAATTTATAGTAATTCAACGTCTATCATTGATATCATTTTACTTCGAAAAAAATACGAAAAGATATTTCCAATTTGTTAAATCATTCTTTTACATGTAAATGTTCTTTGTCCTGGCACCTTGGATGCGTGCGATTCGCGTGATGCGTGCGATTCGCGATGCGTATAATCGTCAAAGTGATTTGAGGTCGACATTACCCTTGAAACTAGCTAATCGTTTAGCTTTCAAATTTTAAATAGATCTCGATGTCTCGCGAGACACATGCGTTTGCCAGCCTAAAATCGTCCGTTCTTTCGTAATGCTGATGAGACTGTGGCATTACGACTTGGCGATATTTCTCTTTGAAGTATCTTAAATCTAGCACGTAAAACTACATTTTTTACGATAATAATGATGATTATGATGACAAAAAATATTGTTATCATTGTAATATTTGTTTCTTTTCCCATTTTCTTTTTTTTTTTTTCTTTTTACGTTTTCTCTTTCATAAGAACATATTATCGAAAAATAAATTCGAAATGAAAATAAGATAAAAATATATATATATATAAAATAAAAAAATGAACAAAAGAGATAGAAAGAAATAGAAGTAAATTATTTTCTATGCAAAAAGATTTACTTTGAGGGAAACTTCACCCTCAAATCGACTCCTTTATCGCCCTGTCCAAGTTCGGCATGGCGCGCCCTCAAGCTTGTTGCTAAATTTAACGTGGGTGGACGGTATATCGAGGAGCGAGGTCGATCCATTGAGTCGACATAACGGCTGCCATTCTTGCAGCTGTCAGCTACCTGACAAAATAATAAGAAAATAAAAAATAAAAGAAAAAGGAAGTGAAAAGAGAGAAAAGAAAGAAATAAATGTAGAAGTAGGAAGACTCTTTGACATTAGTATTCTATTTCAGTCAGAATCTTATTAAATTTAGAAGCAAACTACACGATTATTCTTTTCGATAATTCATTTCTTTAGAAACTATGGTCGCGTTTGATATCATTTTAACAAGGCGAAAAAAGATTACTACAAAATTTATCTCTTTATTCGTGATAAGAGTCTCCCGCAAATTCGATGACGAATTAATTATATACCATTGACGAATTTACGTGCTCATGATGATGTAACGTATACTGCGTACATATATATACATATACATAGTTGAATACTTAAGTATTCGTACAGTAGAAATATATTTCCGTACTTCTACTCTACGAAATACTTAAGTTCTCCACTGTATGCTGTATATATGTATACACACACATACACATATTATATTATACATGTGCGCACATATGTATATGCGCTTTAAAACATGTTATTAGTCCGAAGTACGGAAGAACGTCATTTACTCGATAGTAATCATTTTACGAAAACATAGATATACATGTGTGTGTGTATGTATATATGTGCAGCTAATAGAACGTCGCTTCCTTTTAATTCTCTTTGATATATCAGATTTGATCGTTAATATTGTCTTTTTTTTGTTCTTTTTATAGGATGCTCTTGTACATACGCTACCCGCGGGCGGTAGGCCGGGATTTGCAAAAGGCTTTCGTAAAAACTTTGGTGGACATTGGCGTCGTTTAGTCAAGAGGAAACCAGAAACCGAGACTTGTGCCATTCCACCGGAACTTAAGGATCAACTAAAAACGATATACGTTTATTGACCGACCGTACAGATGATACCAAATCGTACCTCCATTTTACCGTTGACCTTCCAATCCGATAAAAAACAAACGCTTTTTTCGTATCATAATTCGTAAGATACATCGTTATATCGATTAATAACATTAAGGGATCGAATTTGAAAGATTGTTTAACGAAGCGAGATCGAAAGGAACAAAAAAATATGAGGGGAAGAGAAAAAAAGAAGTCTAAAACAACAAATGCAGGACAGGTCAAAAAGTTACTTCTCATCGATTACTCTTTTTCAGGCTTGTAGTTAGTCTTATAGTTTTACAAGCTAGACTTGTATTTTTACGATATAAAGGGAAAATAATTAGCCTAAAAAGTTTCAAAAAAGAGCAATCCATTTTTATTATCATCTAAGAACTTTTGATCCAATCCGCATAAACAATGAATCATCAAGCGAGGGATAACTTTTTTTGCTAGTCCAAGTTAGATATTTTGGGATAATGAAAAATTAAAAAAAAAAAAGTAATCAGAGTTATTGTTGTGAAATTATCAACAGAATAATGAAATGTTTAAATCAAAACATATCAGAAAAAGTGCCCAAAAGAAATATCTCTAGGATGTGAAGCTCCTATTCGAACTTGAATATCGTGGAAACCTGAATTTACACCAGACCATCTATCTCCATTCACCGAAAAGTGCCTTTTTTAAATTCTACTCTCAATCATTTTATTCACGAATGGACACGAAACGTCATTCATATAATAGTCGTGTGTCGTCTTCCCATCGTTCGAGGAATCGTAACACGCTGAAATTTCTGGACTATAAGCGCAAATATGAGGAAGATGAGCTTCGTTAAGCGATGTAAAAGAATTTTTATGAGACTGAAAAAAACGTTAAAAGAGCTACGACAAAACGAGTTACATCGTAGCTTTTTTCTGTCTGTGTATGTATTTTACTATTGATCTATAATAGTAAGAGATAGAAAGAGAGAGTCACTCAACTGAGAATCACTTTCACAACGCACTAGTATTAACGTTATTACCTGAGAAATATATCTAATGTCTAATATGTAAAAAAAAAAATATGATGAGCGGAGCTATATTATTAGAGGTGAAAGAAAAGATAAGAAAAGGGAAGAAGAATAAATCTCCTAAAGCATTTTCTGCTTCTCTCGCACGTGTCTCTTCGAAAAAAAAAAGAAAAAAATAGAAAAAAAAAAGAAAAAAAAATAGAAAAAAAAGCTCTGTCATAAATGTAAATACTAGACGTATGTAGTTTTTAAATAACGATGGCGTAAACTAAACAATTTTGAAGCTACGATCATATTGATGTATCAAAATATCCTCGATATCGTACGACTAATTGCAATGATTTTTTTCTAATTTAACAAATTTAATTTTTTCTTTAACTAAGTTTGTTGTAACTAGTACGATGTATTCAATTCGAAACAATCCAATCGATTATATGTACATGTAATGTTAATGTGACAAATGATTTAGTCGTACGTTCATTAGTGTCGATCTTGTTGCTCGTCTATGCGCTATTTGGTATGTAGAAAATAGAATGAAAGGGGATAATCAGAACAAATGTTGTAATTTAATAGATAGATACACTCTATTCTTTATTGTTCTATCCCCCCCTTTTCTTTCTTCGACGAAGTCAATACCATGAATAGTGTGTAGTATTTTGTAGCAAACTTAGACCAATTTAAGAGATCTTCAATAATTACATTTACGACTCATATTGAGTCTGCACTACTTGCTAAACTACTACGGTATTTCAATTGCGTATTATTGTAAGTTGTACAGCAACGCAAAGCTTCGCTAAATATCCGAAAACGTTGTTGTCTTGCCCTTTATATAAAAAACAAAAAAAAAAAAACATTCGTTTTTCTGGAACTCCTTCGATTGCTCATTTGTTTCTTTGCCAAATTGTAAACATAGCTTCTTGATGAGACATTGAGCGAAATCTTTTTTTTGGCGTATGCTGTTGGTATAAGTATGTCTGCTGTTTCTATGTGCGTATGCTTTTCTGGGTGCATGTGTGTGTATGCAAAAGTGCGATTGTGGAAGCATGGAACAAAAAGTAATACTTAACGAAGAGGTAAAAGTATTTAATTTGGCAATTGTATATTGGTGACTATATTAGTCATGTGAAAACATAAAAAATGAATGAAAAGAAACAACAAAAGGGTATATAAAGAAAAGCCTCTATCCAACCAACGTTCCTGCTGCAGCCGAAACTGTGAAAAGAAATTTGTATTATGATATTTTAGGACACGACGACTGTAGCGTAAATAATATAGCATTGTAATGCTTTCGCGCGGCACGGATTATTCTAACAATACGAATTTATTCAAGTGCCTACGTCATATATATATATATAAATATATATATATATATATATATATATATATATATATATATGTATATATAATATATGTACAGTAAAAAAAACGTAAAAGCGAAATTATAGGAAGGAGCTGCGCTCCCACCACCTAGTCACTTTTAAAAATACCATCGAAACGTATCCCTACGAATTTTTAGTACAGCTTCGAGTTTCCCTTTGACTACCTATCTAAATACGATAATATTAAATAAAAGATTTCAAACGAATTCGAGACATTTATTTTTTTCCCGAGAATTTTTCCAATGTTTTTCTTCTAGATTCTTTTTATTTTAAATTTATATTTTATAAAATAATAAAATATAAATCTATAAATAAAATTAATACTGTATTTCTTTCTCTTTTTTAAATATTGAAAACAAAGGTAGGAAACGAAATAAAACAAAAACATATATATATATATATATATATATATATTAAAAATAAAACATATATATAGATATATATATATATAAAATTAAAATAAAATTTTTAAAATAGAAAAAATATATAACTTCTTATATATGTATTTGTGTGAAAAATTGATTCTGAAACATTACAAAAAATCTTGACATAAATCCCTATTGAATTTTGATTAAATCGTCTACTGATGCATATATAAATACTATTTTATCATGACTCATAAACAGTCAGTGAGGCTAATCTTCATTTACGTCACAATGTTTTATATTTCAGAATCATTTATTCAAGACACGTATTATGTGTGTGTATATATGTAAATGCATATCTTACATTCATCGAAAATCTCGGGTTCAAAAATTGTTATTAAAATGATGATGTAAATTCTTATGAAACAAAGATAATCATAAGATGTTAAATGATGACCAATAATATTTAACATGTGATTAATGGTACATAATTAAACTTACTGAGTATATTCTAATTGATGATAATTATAACTCACGAATGAAAAGGTAAATTTTTAAGAATAAAATTATTAGAATGTTTAAATAAAAAAAGGATTAGACTGACGAGTATTAATAGTTCATTAATGAATTTTGCACCAATAAAAAATAGTAGATACATTTTACACCAATGATAATACATAGAATTTTATTACTAGATAGCCCTACGATCAACTCTAGATGTCGATTGGCAAACTACGCGAACACATTTTCTTTAATATATTTTTACCATAAATATCATTAATAAAATAAGAATATGATATAATTCAAAAAATTCAAAAATCATTTTTTATGCAAATTCATTTCTTCATTATCTTTTTCCCTCTGCCTCGAAATTCATATTCTAAATATAGTTATATATTACTTTGAGAATTAACCTTTATGAATTTAGCTTCAATTTGCGCAGATGCATTGAGACCATATGATGAACTAATAATTTGTACAATGTTTTAGATATTGATTGTGCTGCAGAATTGTAAACTTAAATTTGCACTTAAAAAGAATTTAGAAATAAACGTTATTTTGCTTTGTATTTCTTCAGTATTATATATTTCGTAAAATCATTGCAATATGTTGACTACAAGTGTAATTTCTATGTTAGTAATTCTTGATTTTAAATTGTCTGCAATATTTTTTAATTTTAAAATAATAATTCTACAAATAAATTAAACATTTTCATTTTTTATTTATACATTGTAGATATACTATGAAACTATAATTATACTAATGTAAAACATTGAATGAATTTCTTTTTTATTTTATTATTATGTCTTATAATAATCATTTATACATTTAATAATTCTTATGTTTTATTAATTATTAATTTATTAAATTCTTACAGAGGGTTTAAGTTTCGAATTCCGATACCAACTCAAAGATTGAATACTTTAATTAAAATGTATTCTACCTCGTCTGGATCACCATCCGATTCATCATCATCGTCTGGATCACCAAACGATTCATCTTCATCGTCTGGATCATCATCAGACTCATCATCTGATTCTGATTCGGATACAGAAAAGGAAAAGAAAAAAAAATCAGTTGCAGATGCTTCTACAAAATCATTGGATAGTCTTATAGATAATCTAATGGTAAATAAAAAATATAAGTCGTCAAATTTATTCCAAATTTTCAAATCAAATTGTACAATCATGTTTACAACAATTTTCTATTATATTTAGTTGAAAGATAAAAAAAGAATAGATGTTGCTATGCCTGTGAGAAAAATTATTGAAGAGGATAAATCATTCATAAAGAAGACAAATAAATCGTATGGTTAGTAGAATTATATTTGTAATAAAATTTGTTTGTCTGAATTTATGTATGCTTATTAATTTTAAATTTTAGAAGCACAACTTATAGAAGCTGCCAAAGATGTAACGAAAGCTCTCAATATAGACAAAGGAGAAACAAAGACACAATTATTAGATAGATTATCCACTATATATAAAGACAATTATAAAAAGAAAAAACATGGAAGCTCGAGGTTTTTAGAATATTTAAGACGATTTTAATCAATTATTTAACTTTAATAATCAAAGTAGTATTATTTATGTTTATTGTTTGTTTCAAATAATTAAAATTAAATAAATTAATTCTGATCTCTATTTTTATTTTTTTAGTAAAGTAGTAAACAAGATTGTATCAGAACATAAATTATCTTCAGAAAGCAAACAAATAGATAGTAATGAACAATGGAAATACAAAGCTGATATTGTTCGTAAGTTTAAAACTCATGATAAACGCGAAGAGCAGGTACATATGATTGGACCAAGTATTATCAACCAATTAAAGAAGGAAGCAAAAAATAAATATTGGAAGGAAACAATTGCAAAGCAAAAAATGCTAAATGTTACTTTTAATGAAAAAGCAAAAGCAATTTTAAAGACATGAAAGAACCTATGACAAACATACCAAAGTTATCCATGTGGGAATCATTAGAAAAAAGAGAGCTTGATTTAATTGTTAATCAATCTCCTAAAAATATTTTTCAAGAAATGATACAATGGACTGAATCTGGAATATTATGGAAATTTCCTATTGATAATGAAATTGGTAATGTATAATCTTATATTATGATGTAATGTAGTATCCTTTCCTCATATGTTTTATTAAAATATATATTTTAGGAATGGAAGAAGAAAGTAACGTGCATTTCTCTGAACATGTATTTCTAGAACGTCATTTAACAGATTGGTGCCCAAAAAGTGGTCCAATACGTCATTTTATGGAACTTGTATGCATAGGTCTTTCTAAAAATCCATATTTGACTGTAGATGAAAAACTTGGTCACATTACATGGTATAAAGAATATTTTAAAGGAAAGAAAGAATTATTAACAGAATTAGGTGCAATTAATATTTCATCCACTATGAAAGAGCAGACGAAAACTTAAATTATAATATATTCGTGTATGTTTGTTAAGAATTGATATTTTATCTTTCTATTATATATAATATATATCTACTTTTGTATTTTATATTCTAATTCTTTGTTGTTTATAGATACATGCAGAATTAACATCGTATCAAATTGATCGCTCAATATACATTGCTTATCCTTTTTTAATTAAGGAATAGCTCTACAAAATATTCAATTATAACTTCTATTGTACATTTACACAAAAGAAGTCGTATATCTAATCATAAAAAACTGATTGATTAAAAAAGAAAAATATATATACAGCTATTTCAAATGAAATGATTAATGTTGTATTATCCTATGTATACTAAATAAGGTAAATTAATTAATTTCACAAATTTTTAGCATATTTGTATGTATGCATAATATGCAGGATATCCCATTTATCTGGAAAAATTGGAATAGATATTGTTGTTGTTGGGACTGAACCTATCAAAAAAATGTATTTACAAATTTGTTTAATATGAAGATTTGAGATGAATTCAATAACGTGACATATAAGGTTTGTAAGTTCCTAATAGCTCTATATCATAATCGCCAACTATTAGTCTGCATGCTGTAAGCAAAGGCTGAATTTTTTTTATCTATCTTTATGCTTTTCAAATTACCAACTAAGTAAACGAAGTTTATTTCGTAAGAAGTTCAGCCTTTATTTACAACATGCAGTTTAACAGACGGCGATCAGCGATACAGGGTTATGGTTCTTAGTAACTCACAAATTTATAATATAATTTATAATATTTTACAATGACAAATGACCTTATATAGCATGCCGTTGAATTGGTCGCAACAAATTCCAACAAACTATGTGAAGAGAAATATATAGTTCTGTCTAAAAAAATGAATGTAACTTTGAAATTTCCATCACTACTTTAACTGCAAAAAGAAATTGACACCATTTAACATTGCTCCTCCATATCAAAACAATTTGTAAAAAATTTTTTTGATACATCCGATTCCTCATGAGATATTCCAATTTTTGGAGACAAACAAAATCCTGTATATACAATATACTTTTTATAAAAATCAAATTAATTTATCTATTTAAGTTATCTTAAATATTATAGATATAATAAAATATAAAAAAAAAATATCAAATTATAATATAAAATTGTAATATACAATGATTAATTAAAGAATTATAAAATATAATAACAATAATATTCTCTAATATTATATAATAATTTCTAATAATATGAAGCTAATTCAATTGTTCGCTCTTGAATCTATGAATGTATATAAATTTATAAATATACTTCTGAAATCAATCTAAAACAACCAAAAATGCATCTACTAGATGCACGTACGCATCTAAACGCACAAATATATATAAATGTATACATACACACACCGAATTCAAATATATATAGATAATACGTGTACCAATCAGATCTCATCTCGTAGTCTTCTTCTCAGTCTTTGGCAGTCTGTGGTGAGGCTCGCTACCCAATCATATGCTAACGTCATTTCTAAGTATATTTATATAATTTCTTGAGCTTTGAACTCATTTATTACTGTGTGACTGTACGTATATTAGATTTATAATAACACACACACACACACATATATAAAGATATAAATAAATATATATGTATGTATATATATATATATGTTTATACTTTAATCATTAACGCATAATTGTCATTTCTTTTTCGAGAAAGATTTGTGAGCGTTCATACGTAGTTATTAAAATCGGAATAAACGATGACAAATTGAATATCATTGTAAAGTACTGATACGGTGAAACCAGAAAGGAGGTTGCGCGAGTGTAAAGTGAATAGAAATCTTGTTCTAAAATTAATATCCTACATTTACTCATGTTCAGTCAATTTTTTTAATTTTTTTTTAAACATTTGACAAAGTTCCGTTTTTCTTCTTTTTTTTTTCATTCTTATATTTTTTAATTAGTGCTTCGTACAATTGCCGCGTGAACATAGCGATATTCTCCGTTATAAATATTGCTGTATTAATCTTACGTGTCAATAATTATTCAAAAATCCTTCGTGTCACATATCCAATATTACTCATTCGTAAGATAAAAATTACTTTTCAATTTTATATATTAGATAAAAAAAAGTAAAAAGTGATATAGTATCTTTTCTTTAAATTCGTCTTGTTTCGCGTCGTTTATGTGGAAACATTCTTTATCTTGTAAATATTATTGCAAGGTTATATATTTCAATACATGAAAATTGCTTATATGCCGTTAAATGCACGAATATTGCATCAGTCAATGATTTCTGTTAAAATATCATTATTTATTACATTTTTGATTACAGACACATATAAGACGTATCTGAGATATTATTATTTGATAAAAAAAACCAATAAACGGAATAAACCAATATACAACTGTATTTCTACAATATACCCTGTATTAAAGTAAATTATCATTTGAATAGTTTATACATTGTTAATTTTTGTAATTAAAAAATAATTTTATTGATTTTTTTACAGATACATAAAGATATCTACTTATATATACCAAGAAGAAACATGAGTTTACAGTGGTCACTGGTTGCCTCTTTCTTATATATAGAAATGATTATTGTATTATTGCTAGTATTACCTATAATGTCACCAACAAGATGGCAGAAATTTTTCAAATCACGCTTTGCACAAAGTTTAAGTTATCAGTCATCAACTATATTTTATATAATAATTGTAATATTAGTCTTATTTTGGTTAGATTCTGTCAGAGAAATGGTTAAGTACTCAACGGTTGGTGAACGTGCTGGAGAACATGCTCATTTAGATGCAGAAATGCAAGGTAAATTATGATAAATTGAAAGCATTTGATTGCATTAATTGTATTTGTATGTATATACGTTTTCATATTTTTCAATTCTGCTTTAACAGGAAATATGAAACTTTTCCGAGCTCAAAGAAACTTCTACATATCGGGATTTTCATTATTTTTGAGCATAGTTATACAACGTCTGTCAAAATTAATCTCTACACAAGCTCAGCTTTTAGCTCAAAATGAAGCTGCTATGAGACAAGCACAATCTGCTACTACCACAGCAAGAAGTCTACTTTCTCAGAAACCAAGTGGTGAAAGCGCTCAAAATGATTCTAATGAGGCACATGATAAAGCTGTTTCAGAATTAAAAAATCAAATTAAAGAATTGCAGGCAAAAAAAATAGAACTTGAGAATGAACTAACAAAAGAAAAGAAAGACAAAGAAGCTATCAAATCACAAGCTGAATCTTTAACAAAAGAATATGATCGTTTGAGTGCCGAACATGCAAAAACCCTATCAAGCGGAGATAAAAAAAGTGATTAAGTTGTTGCTTACCTTCTTTTCCCGTTACCATTAATGCCAAAGGCATATAATTCATTATCTTTTACATAAATATTTTTTATGTTCTATCTAATTTCACACTACATTATTTTATTAATACTAAAACAATGATCAATTTATTTATATTGTTTACAAAAACCCTGTATATACATATTATTGCTAATGTAATATGCATTACAAATACATTGTTATATTAACTTTGGTTGTTTGTTTTAAGAAGTGATTAATATTTCTTAGAACAATGAGTTAAGTATAATGTTGTAGAAGTACAATTTAATAATGTTTGCATTACTGTACAGTTAAAAAAGATATTATACGTACTTGATTTATTTAAATATTAATATTTTATATGAATATTTTTGATTGTTTTTTTGTATTATTGGTAATTATGGCAAGTTTAATAATGATTAATTATACAAATGATGTATGTTTAAGAATAGAATTTTATGCACGTAGAGCCCTAAAATAATGAATAATATAAATTTATTATGGTATGGTCCTCTTTAGTTTGACATATTCTAACAAACAAGGAAGCATAACTCATTAAAAATATTTAATATATTTTATGTTCATCATTTCCAAATTATATTTAAAATAATTTATATAACATACATAATAAGTGATCAAATTTGTTTCATTAGATAAAATTCACACATATATTTTGTCAAAACCTGTAAAATGTTTAGCATATTGTTTCCTCTTAAATTATTATATTAAATATAAATTAAGAGATATATATGAATTTATGAATAGTGTAATTTATTGTTCATAAAACAGGAAATTCTACAAAAGCACAATAATTTATTAAACAACTAATAACAGAATTTACTGTGTTAACAACGTGTTGTAATTAAATTTACTCTACGTTGATCAACACAGTTAGAGAATTCCTCTACTAAATCTGAACATTTAAGTATTTCCTTAGGATTATCTTGATAGCATTTTAGTACTTTTTCTTTTCCTGCAGTACACAGCTGTTCGTCGCTGAGATTACCTTCCATTTTTTGTCCTATTTACAAAAATAAGTATAAGTAAAAACTTACATTCATGAAATAAAATTTGTTAAATAATAGTAATTCAGTTTGTAAAATATTTTAATTTTAAATCAAGTGTAAGATATTTGTCTAGACATTCAAGAATAGTATAATATTTTCACATCAAATTTTTCATTAATTTTTATAATTTAAAAGATCACGCTCATAATTCTAATCTGTAGTTTGTGGAAATAATAGTGGTTGATATAATTATAGATATAAAAGGCAAATGTCATGATTAAAGGACAAATGTAATATTATTAAAATAGGTTAAATTAAAAATATTTAAAATGAAAAAAACTTGGTTTTACCTATTACTTTACCAGAAGAAAATTCATCAACAGTTCTTTTATATTCTTCTTCTAAAATGCGATCTATCATTAAATGCTTTTTCTCCATGTTTTGCAAGCGTCTTTGCCAATACTGATTTTGAACTTGAAGTTCTTGTTCTTTCTTATTTTGCATTTCAAGAGCAGATAATGTTAATTCTGGATAATAGTATACTGGATATCCAGAAGGTACATCTCCAGTTTGTGATGATGATAAAGGAACTGTAGGATTAGCTGATTGTGTTGGAGTAAATGAGCTTACATCCTTAACGGTCTCAGTGGAAACTTTACTTCCTTGAGCTAATCGTTCTACAACTGCATTAGATACTTTAATCACTCCTATTTCTTCTTCATTGGATATAGTCAATCTGCGAGTGCTCTGTCCAGAACCCATCTTTAATAATTCTTTAAGAATTTTTAATATATTTCCTTAAATTTAATTAATCTATATAATTAATTCCCGATTTAAACTTCTTTCATCCAAATAAACTTTGGTCTAGATTTTTTCATGGTTCTCACTTACCTGGTATATATCTGTTTTACATAGATTTTATATTTTTCATTACATATCATATTAATATTACGTAAACATCGCAACAACTCATCCTTCTGTTGTGTGAAGGAAAATGACTGCTAAAGAAGGATAACAAAGTTTATATTACAACTAAAAGTAAAATCTTTTAGTAACACGTCGTACAATGCCAAATCCTATCTCACGCTCCCTCTCTAGGGAAATTTCGAAAATTCTCTAGTCAGTTTATTAATAACAATTATTATAGTTTTGAATAAATTATTTCTTGCTATTTATTGCATTCATTTCTATTTTATAATGTAATTTAATATTATCTATTGTATGTTTGTGAGTATTAAATTTTCTAAGGTACTATCTCTTGTATAATTACATGTTTTAACTTTATTACAATGTAAAATCAATTGTGTCATTGTTTAAAAATTATTTTATAATTTTTTTTTTACATCATATTAATTTCTCTTTTATTATATTAATGTATTGTAAATTAACTAATTTAATGTTTGAAAATAAGGATTTTAAATTCTAAGAGGAATCATATTACTTTATATTTTATTATCTTATATAATCGCGATAACTTCTTTTTATTTAAATTCATTTCACCTTTGTTTAAAAGAAAATTAAGTATTTAAATTAATTAATATTTTTGTCGTTTTGCTGTTGTTTAAATTACGTTCTACTGTATATACTGTATGAATTGTATATACTGATGAATTGGAAATGAAATGTATACTACTGTACCAATCGTAAATTCTCCTCTCTCTCTATATATATATACACACACACATACACATAATATATATTTATATCTCATAAAATTTGAAGGAATTAATACCAGTAAGAATTTAGATATCCCTTCTCCTAAAACTTATTATTTATCTTATGAGTTGGCTAATATAACCTTCACTAGTAGGTTTCTAATTTTTTATCTTATAGGAGACAAACTGTATTATGAGGAAAGTTACTTTTCTTACTCTAACTAATACTTATCAAACATATTTTTATACAAAACATAAGAAATTTATACAAAGAAAATAATTATTCAAGAATGGCTCAAAGTGCTTCTCTTTTAACACGTATAGTGGCTACTTCTATATCAGCTACAGTACGTGCAGGTAAAATAATTCGCGATGTTATGAGTCAAGGAGGGTTAAAAATAGTAGAAAAGGGCAAAAATGATCTACAAACTGAAGCTGATCGGTGTGCACAGAAATGTATTATAACTTCTTTAAGTCAACTATTTCCGAACATCACTATTATTGGAGAAGAAGAACCTAATAGTTGTGAAATACCGTCCGATTGGATTGTCACCGAAGCAGATCAAGATATTTTGAAGTTGAAATTACCAGCGCATCTTGAAAATATAGATCCAAAAGATGTGTGCGTTTGGGTAGATCCTTTAGATGGTAATATTTATCAATAATTAATTTTTCTATTAAATATTAAAAACCATTGAAAATGGAAATGAAAATAATTTTTATATCTGAAACAATTGTTTTAGGTACATCTGAATACACACAAGGACTTGTAGAGCATGTTACAGTATTAGTGGGAGTAGCAATTGGAAAGAAAGCAGTTGGTGGTGTGATTCATCAGCCATATTATAAGGATAATGAAAAGGGTATATTGGGTCGTACATTATGGGCAATTAATGAAGTAGGATATGGTGGATTTGTACCAATTTCACCTCCTGATGGAAAAAGATTTATTACAACCACACGGTAAATTTATTTTAAGAAAAATGAACTACGTGGAAACTATTCTATCTATAATATATTAAAAAGAAACAATAATGTGTACAATTTATATTTTAGTTCTCACTCGGATAAAAATGTTAAAGCTGCTATAGATGCTTTGAGCCCAGATGAGGTAATTCGTGTAGGTGGTGCAGGTCATAAAGTAAGTTATCTTTACTTCGTAATATAAAGTCATGCAAATTAATTTTCTATTCGATTGTAAATATACTAATAATAATTTTGAATCAAATATTAACTTTTGACATACTTATAGGTAATTCTACTTTTGGAAGGTAAAGCACATGCTTATGTATTTGCCAGTAAAGGTTGCAAAAAATGGGATACTTGTGCACCTGAAGCAGTGTTGCATGCAATTGGTGGAACTTTAACTGATTTTTATGGAGAAAAATATGCGTATCATGCAGAAACAATACATCCAAATTTAAGAGGTGTTTTAGCTACTGCTCCTGGAGAGGCACATCAGTGGTATTTAAATCATATACCAGAAGAAGTCAAACAAAATTTACAATAACACAAGTAATTTGCTTCAATGTTACACTTTTTATGTCATTCCTTAATGAATTTATTTATATACTTATTATATTTTAATTAATTTCTTTGGCTCGCATACGCCCCACATAGAACTTTCCATTCACGCCGTCTTATATTTTCGTCAAGAACAAAAATTTTCGAAAAGATTTTTCCTAAAATCTTATATCGAATAACGTCCAACTGAATAACATCCTTAGTGCATTTATCATACAGTGGGTCATTAATTCTAAGGAGCCATGAAAATCATTTTTTGCATTATTATAAATATTGTAAAATATACGTCAGAAAAATTATTAATCATGATAACATAGAGGTGAATACGCGATCTAAACGGAAATACATTAAATGTCGATTATGCACGAAACATTAACAATCTATAATATTTTATTCTACATTAGAATAATTCATGCTGTAGATGTAGTATAACTACAAAACAAAATCTTTACGAATGAATTATGTATGTCAAAGGTGGGGGTAATTGACAACCCACATTTAGCCTGCATTTCTACTTAAACTGAGAGAAGACGATCTCAATCATTTGACAATACCATGCCTCGTGAATTACACAGTTTTTGTTTCTGTCTTTTTATGAATAGTCGATTTACGATCACGTATGTTCTATCTGTCTCTATTCTATACTAGATAAGGTATTAGATGAGATCTCTCTGTAAGCTTAACAGCTCTTGTTTGTAAACCTGGAGTTACAGTTAATAAACTTAAGTAGTAGGTAAATAGAATGATTAATGATATTGCCAAGAAGTTGCCTATTTCTGAGTATATATGTATATAATTTATATACATACATTCATATATATAACAAACTTTAGATATTAAAAATGAAAATTTATAAAAGATAATTTATGGCATTTCTGTTGACAGTATTTTTTGCTATGGTAATTGGTCAAAAAATTAATTAAGAATAGTAAAATAATAAATAATTAGATAATTTGGTTTTTTATTTATAATAAAATAATAATCGAACATAAAGCAAACTATATAATATGTAGATAATTGCATTAAATACATTATTGATATTGATAACAATAAGTCAAATTTATACTTAATTAATTCATATTAATGAGACTAGAATAAAATACATTTTATAAAATCTCTTTACAAGAGTATTACACAATTATGTATAAAAATGTATAAATCTTATTTCAATGGGATACAAAAGAAAAATCTGTGAAGCATAATAAATATGTTACCAAATAGTTATTGAATAATAGCACTTTTTCATCAGTTTTAATAAAAAATTGTAAATTTGAAAAAGTATTACTGACAGATCATTATAATTTCTTATTCCAATAAAATCTTTTCTTTTATAATTTAGATTTTACCATATTACGTAATACTCTACGTAATATTTTTCCGGAAGCAGTTTTTGGAATATCTTTCACAAATTTGACACCACCTCTAAGTTTTTTATGACATGATACTTGTTCTAAAACAGATAATGACATTATAATTATTTACACAGAAGTCTTCACTATATAGTAAAACCACATTATTAGTATTACCATTAACATATTTAATGATTTCATCTTCTGTTATTTTACTTTGATCTTGCTTCACAACAAAGGCAAGTGGTAATTCTCCAGCTTCTTCATCTGGTAATCCAACTACAGCGGCATCTTTGATTCCAGGGCAAGTTAATAAAACTGCCTCTAATTCTGCTGGAGGTACTTGGAACCCTTTATATTTTATAAGTTCTTTTAAGCGATCAATTATATAAAAAAAGCCATCTTCATCGTAGTATCCTACATCCCCTGTATGTAGCCAACCATCTTTATCGATAATTGTGCCCGTTGATTTGCTATCATCGCAATACCCTTTCATTATTAGATCTCCTTTGAAACATAATTCTCCTTTGCAATTTGCTTCCAATGCTTTATTTGAATTTGACTCATCAATTGGTATTACCTTTGCTAAATATAATTATTAATTATATTTCTTTAGATGAGAAAGTAAATTTCAATCAATTATTTACCTAAAGTATCAGGAGCTACTACTCCCACGCTACCATATTTATGATTAGATGGTGATTGTAATACTGCTAAAGTTGTTTCTGTTAATCCATAACCTTGTTTTATATTGGAAACATTTAATCTTTTTGCTACAGCTTTCTGAATTTCTTCAGGTAAAGAAGCTGCTCCACACCTATAAATAAGATTATCTTACTTGTATTAAATATATATATTAACTGTCATAAAAAATTAAAAAATTGACAAGGATTAATTGTATATATTTATATTTATATTTACCATATTGTTTTTATACTCGAGAGGTCATATCGATCAACAAAAGGATGTTTTGCCAAGAAAACCATAAGCGGTGGCACTAAAGTTAAAGCCTCGATTTTGTATTTTTCTATTGTATGTAAGAAAAGTTTTTCGTCAAAACGTGCAAGTATTATGCCTTTGGCACCTACGATTAATCCAACAAGTAGAGTAGAGAATGAATAAGCATGAAAATATGGTAGCATATATAATGCTACTGTATCTTTATGCATCGGTCCAATTTCTGGATTACTGAAATGCTTTATTGCTAGTAATAGATTTTTGTTTGTCAGCATAACTCCTTTTGGAAGTCCTGTAGTTCCGCTAGAGCATAAAATTGCTGCTACATTATTATTCACATCAATATTACAAATTTGAAAATTGTTAATCTCATTGGTATCTATATTTAATATTAAATCTTTCATATTAGGTAAATTATTATAAGCAGTTAAGACAACTAGTTTTGGCGACCAAGGTAATTGCTTAATAACTTCCTGCAAAGTATTTACTGCCTTCGATGAAGTAAAAATGTATTTGGGCTTTGATATTGTCAATGCATGATAAAACTCTCTTTTCAAATACATTGGATTTAGGGGACATACTGTAATTCCCAAAAATAATGCAGCACAAAGAGGAATGCAGAATTCTGTATTATTTTCACTGCATATAGCTATGCGGTCTTCTATTTTCAAGCCTATTTTGCTAAAATATGTTGCTAATCTTTTACTAGCATTTAGAATTTCTTGATATGTTTGTTTTTCTCCAGTGTGTGCATTGATCTAGAAAAAAGAATAAAATTTGTTTTATTTAAACTATAAATTTTGATAATTTAAGAATATTTTTTTTATTATAAATAAATTTTTTACTTGAGCAATTCGAGTTCCATGTGCATGCAATTGATTTAAAAGCAGTTCTCCTATGTTGTTGTGTATTAAGCCCTCTGTAGAAGATGAAGGTCCACATAATATATTTTTATTATCTTCCATGTTATATATTATATTCTTTTCTATAAATTATTTATAACGCATTAATCATTGAATTTTATGGAATAAACATTATAATAAAAAATAAATAGTATAAAATAAGTAGCTTATATCGTATGTATTGAATTTTTATTGGATTACATTGGCCTCAAAAATGTTTGTTATAGAGTATTTATTTATTTCGAGTTCAAATATTCAAAGGTTCAGTGCTTAAAAAGAATTGTTTGTCCTTCGGTACGTAACGACTTCGAGTAATAGTTGTATTTATCTAAATTATGTAGATATTTTACTATATCTTACATTTATACATATATATATATATATAACAGAGCTACACTTGTAGTTTGTACCCGATGTTTTCAAATAAACTAGACGTAAGACTGAATACATAATTAAATACGAGAATGATTTAACTTAAGTGAAATACTGAGTAATACAATTATCTAATTCTCACATATTTGTTGAAGGAAAAGACAATCAATTAATTCTTTGTTGAATTTTTCTTATAATTTTTTCTATTAATGGAAGAATAAAATATGAAGTGTTTCAATTCTTTCATATGTTTGCAATGAATTTTATTCTATATGGTTTTCAATTATATATATCATTTGCCCCTTTTTCTTTTGTATTAAAAAATATTCAGCAAATGGCGCTATTGGTTGGTGTAGGAATCGATGTTGCCAATTTTCGACGCGACATCTGATTGTAACTAGGAAAGTTGTTGTCATTATACTTACACGACGTGCCGAGAGCTGACGCACTAGTCGCTACAATTGCACATGCACTATTGCATTCTATGTTATATACTGTTTAAAGCAACATATGCTTTTGGACATTCATGTATGTTTGAATATAGTGCGTGTAACAAATTTTAAGATTATTTATCTATAGTGAATAATTTGTGAAAGGGAATCAAAATTCAACGATTATATTCTACTATAAAACAATATTAATGACGACATGGGTGTCCCGGCGTTTTTCCGATGGTTAAGTCGAAAATATCCTTCCATGATAGTGGAGTGTATAGAACAAAAGGTAGGTTAAATGATTTCTTCTTATTCATATTTAACTCATTATAACAATTATTTCAATATATTAATATCGTTTATTAAATAACGATTATTATCTATTGCTCGAAATTTATTATATTTGCTACCAAAACAAGAATAAAAAATCTGTTGTCATATTTTAAATGGAATGTTAGGTTATGATGTTAATTTATCTAAATGTTGTTCATATGGTTATTTGCGTGCATGTGTATTTCTTTCTTATAAAAACTTGATTAAAAGGTTATAGTCATTAATATTACGTTTTATGTTAACAGCCAATAAACTCTAATGGAGTACATGTTCCTGTTAATTCTGCAGATCCTAATCCAAATGGGATTGAATTTGATAATTTATATTTGGATATGAATGGAATCATTCATCCATGTACCCATCCAGTAGATCAGTTAGTATATTAATTATAAGTTATTAATCCTTTGATTATTCCGGATTCCAGATTGAGTCAGACAACATTAAATTTTGTTTCAATAAGTCTTGTGCCAAGTTGTTTACTAGAATTGTAAATACTTGATATAAATATATTTATATAATAAATATGTTGTATTGTATTAGTTAGATGTTAAAATATCAAAATCATGGCGGACTATTTCATATTGACTGAAAATGGTCAAGTGCGGATTTACTGGAACAAAATAATGAGAATTTATTGTAAATGCAAAGGATTAATTTTTATTTTATTTCATTTGAATAATGTTTGATGTTATATTATAGACCTGCACCAAAGAATGAGGAAGAAATGATGGAGGCTATTTTTGAATGTATTGACCGCTTGTTTCGTATTGTAAGACCCAGGAAGTTACTTTACATGGCTATAGATGGAGTTGTAAGTATTGACATATAATTAATATAAAAAGTTTGTATATAAATATTTGCTGATGCATTTAATACATTATCATTGTACAGGCACCTAGGGCTAAAATGAATCAACAAAGATCACGTCGTTTTCGTGCATCTAAAGAAACAAGCGAAAAACTTAATGAAATTCAAAGGGTGCGTTCTGAATTAGCTTTAAAAGGAGCCGTATTACCACCAGAAAAGCCAAAAGAAGAGCACTTTGATAGCAACTGCATTACCCCAGTTTGTAAAATTATTATAAAAATTATTGTACTTGTTCAATATACAACTTAAAGATACAAAATAATTTGTTACTATAGGGCACTCCATTTATGGCAAGATTATCAAAATGTTTACATTATTATATACACGATCGTTTGAATAATGATCCTGGTTGGAGGGACATAAAAGTCATACTGAGCGATGCAAATGTTCCAGGAGAAGGAGAACACAAAATAATGGATTTTATTAGAAGACAAAGAGGTAAAATTACATTTTCAGAACATCGTATATAAATATGAAATCAAATGATCGGTGAATGATGAATTAATTTCATAATTGTCTATTTTTCTCTTATAGCTCAACCCAATCATAATCCGAATACACAGCATGTTTTGTGTGGTGCTGATGCTGATTTAATTATGTTGGGTCTTGCCACACATGAACCCAATTTTACTATTATTCGTGAAGAATTTAAACCGAATAAACCAAAACCATGTGATATATGTGGTCAATTAGGACACGAAATGCAAGAATGTACTGGCGCAGAACCTAATCAAAAAGAAGAGGACAATGCATTTTCCGCAGAATGTCAATATATATTTGTGCGATTAAATGTTTTAAGAGAATATTTAGAGAGAGAATTACAAATGCCCAATCTACCGTTTAAATATGATTTTGAACGTGCTATAGACGATTGGGTTTTTATGTGTTTTTTTGTAGGAAATGATTTTCTACCTCATCTTCCGTCGTTGGAAATTAGAGAAGGAGCTATTGATAGGCTTGTAAATTTGTACAAAAAAGCTGTGTATAAAACAGGAGTATGTATATCTACTTTTTTTTTTATAATTCTTAATGTATATATTAAAGATTAAATGTTAATAGAGAAAATACATATTATTAGTTTATAACTATCTATTTAAATTGTATTAAACGTTTTATATTGTTGTTCGATATTAAAAAATCTCTATAAATAATATCAGAAAAACAATTGCGCTAATGTTTTTTTCATAAATATTAAAGAAATATGTTTAAGAAGTATTACTTGACAGATATTTATAAAAATCGCAGGGTTTCTTAACGGATAGTGGTGACATTAATTTGGATAGAGTGCAACTGATAATGTCTGAACTTGGTGATGTAGAGGATGAAATTTTTAAAAAAAGGCAACAGAATGAATTGGCTTTTAAACAACGTGAGAAGGATAAGAAAAAAAGATTAAAAACACTTAGCAATTATAAACCAAAATGGATTCCTACAGGACAATTTGCACCTATGGTGAGTTTTGTATTTATTTTATTTTCTTTTTTCTTTTTAACATAATTATAAATATTTGGTATTATGGATATTCCAGCCATTGGGACAAACCGTTAAACCAGTTGAAAATGCACGCCATGAAGCTTATCAAATGCGCATGCAAAATCAGAATTATACCACTTGTTCGATTATGCAATCGGAACATGCATCGGTGGGTACAAATGTAACTGCACTCGAGAGTATGCTGCGTCCTGAGGTATACATATTTATTTTTTTATTTTCCTCTATTGGCTTTGGTAATCTTGTATCGAATATACTGATTGTATTTTTGATAGGGTAAAAATGATTTAAACAAACGCAAAATCGACGAAGTATCAGCGGATGATACTGACGATGACGATCGAGCACATGATGAAGTTAGACTTTGGGAAGATGGTTTTAAAGATCGTTATTATGAGTCAAAGTTTGACGTATCTCCCGACAATCTCGCATTTAGGTAATCAAATAATTTGATAAATAATTAATAATTTAAATGAGAATAGTTTCAAATGGCAAACAATAATATAATCTAATTTACAGAAACAATGTGGCCTTACAGTATGTACGTGGTTTATGTTGGGTTTTACGTTATTATTATCAAGGTTGCGCTTCATGGAAATGGTATTTTCCATATCATTACGCACCTTTTGCAAGTGATTTTATTAATATAGGTGGTCTTTCTACAGAATTTGAGAAAGATACCGTACCAGTAAGTATATACGTATATATCTTATATATACAGGATGTTTTAGAACATGTGGGTATAACCATTCAGCATACTAAAATAAAAAAAGAGAAGTTCATATAAACATTTTTGTATTATATCAATTGTTCAATTGGTTTTTACAGAAATTGTTCGAAGTGAATAATATTCGGCTCAAATAAAAATTTTTGTTATCTTTAAAAATTGTTACCTATGAAGGGAGGTGAACAATTGATATAATACGAAAACGGGTGTATCTCGAAAACAAGGCATATGTTCATATGAATTATTTTTCTTATTTTAATACGATGAATACACATATTCTGAAATATCCTGTACATAAATATATTATTATATTAAGCGTATCGATATACAATCCTATTCCTATCGTTATAGTTTCGTCCTTTAGAACAGCTGATGGGTGTATTTCCAGCAGCTAGTAGTATACACGTGCCACAATCATGGGCAAAATTAATGAGTGATCCAGTAAGTACTATAAGTATTATATATGTTGTTTTATGATAAAAACATTTTAAAACATTTTCTATATAAAATCTATTGTAAAATATATTGAAAAAATTCTCTACATAAAAATCTATTAATTTTAGAAATCTCCGATCATAGATTTTTATCCAGAAGACTTTAAGATAGATCTTAATGGCAAAAAGTTCGCTTGGCAAGGCGTAGCTTTGCTTCCATTTGTTGATGAAAAAAGACTGTTCAAGGCTTTAGAACCTTATTACGACAGCTTAACGGATGCAGAAAGTAAATATTACTCACATACGCGCGCGCAAGCACATTTTTTTTATTTTACATATTTTTATATTTATTATACAATATTACATATTTATAAGAAAAAGAGTATAAGAGATATATTTATTTTACGATGAAAATTTATTTTTCTTAGAAAAACGAAATGTACGTGATGACGATCGATTGTATGTCGGTTTGGGAAATAGTGGATATAATTTTGTAAAAGGTCTTTATATGAATGGAGTGGGATTTGAAATTGAAACACCAGTACGTATAGATGGTATGAGAGGTATGGTGTTGTTGGCAGAGGATTGTATTGGAGATGGAGCTACATTACTTTCTCCAATCAATGGATTACCAGTGAGGAATAATAAAGTATATTGGTAAGTTCATTGAAAAATTTAACACTAATGATCTATTATATTCTAATTTATGACAATTATGATCTTTGTTCATATTACGTTACATATCTTTGTGCAGTGTACGTTTCCGGGATCCAAAGTACAATAGTAGTTTTATCTTTTCTACAAAAAAATTGAAAGGTGCTATAGAACCACCAAGAGTGTTGAAACCTCAAGACTTTGAACAAATGAATCGTAACAATGGTAATCAATGGAAGCCACAGATCGGCTTTACTCCTTCGACACGATTTGCATCTTTAAGCGAAGCTGGTCATCGAATGCTCGAGTAAGTTCGAATTGCAACTATCGATTATTTCTCTGTCAATCGATCGGTTGATCATATAAAATATATTTTTTCTTTTTTTTTCAGTCATCACACGGGTTTCAATAGAGCATTACCGATGTATGGACACGTACCACCACCTCCAAGTGTTTATCAACATCAACAGCAATATCAACAGCATCACGGTAAGTTTGATTTTATTGCTTGATAATTATTAATCTAACTTTGTGTATCGCGAATGTCCAAGAGTTCATTGATCGCCCTCGAGTATTCTTTGGTTTAACGATGTTGAGATTATCGGAGTAGAATGAAAATAGTACTTTATAAACGTCCGGTCGTCATAGATGAGCCACGTGTGTCTGGGTAGTAGTAAGGAACCCCTCATTGTTTTTTCCCCTCTTCTCATAACTGTCGTTGTATTACAATCAGCCCTCTTTTATTGTTTTACGTTTTGCCCCTTTCTAACGTTGGACAAGGGAGGAAGACGATATCCCTCAGTCGTCTCGATGATGACCAAATTTGTAGAGAATTTATCCATTTTCATGAATAGAAAAAGAAAAGGTGGAAGAAGAGGAAGGTAAAAAAAGAACTAGAAGGAGAAGAAGAAGATAAAAAATGAAGAGATATACTTTAAAGTCGAGACAAAGTCGAGTTTCGTTCGAGGAAGGGCGCGTGCGCGCGCGCGACTAATCCGTTCGGAGAACAGGCTGGAAGGGAAGAAGGGGTGTTGCAAGGCCGAGGGGTTCTCGTTCCGGATTAGCTCAAAGGGTAGTTCGTCACGTAGAGCGTGACTCCGGCCGTTTCGTTGTTTGGCACGTCGAGTCAAGCAACGGTTCCCCGGCTTTCGCCCAATTATAAAACAAACGCGGTGCACTCTGTAATTATCCAATTAGCGGATGTACCTCTCTTTCACCCTCATCCCCTTTCGCGTCACGATCGTTGTCGTCGTTGTCGTCGATTGCGTTGAGCTGCAAGTTCTATTCGCCGTTGGCAAAAGGAGAAACAAATGCTGACAACTCGTCATCGTCATTCGCCATTCTCCACGTCGTTATCGCGTTATTCGAATACTTCAAAAAATTCTACGAATAGTATTCCTCTTTCAAATCTATTTTTCAAAGTAACTATTTACGAACGATAGCTATGTACTACGATAATTATATTACGTAACTACGATAATTATTTCTATGAGATATTTTTCTATCTTAGAAACCTTTTTTACGATAAAAATTATTGAGATACTTTAATAATAAATTAATAATAACAATCAGTTAACTAGAAACTAGATTGGTTTCAAGGGGTTTTTATTAAAAATGTCTATTTAACATTTTGTCGCATGTTTTATCTAATCTTTATTATGATTTTCATTATTACATACAATATAGTCATTATAGAAAAATAATTTTTATAAATAATTCAAACCCGAACATTAAAATATCTCAAAATGAAAAATATATGACTTAGATCATTTCTATAATTACCGGTTCAATTGTAATAATGTTTTAGTGTTATTAGAAAAGCAATAATCTTTTCCGGAAAAGAACGGCTATCGCGCTACCATATCTTTGGTCACTTTCTTCTACGAAGGGTGGTCGGCACGCGGCACTGTTTCTGGCATTTACATCCCTCGGTAAATCAATCACACACGCTTGCCCGCAGCCGGCGTAACGTTTTGTTTTTACGTTCGAGTCCGCCGGATATAGGCACGCGCGCGCGTGTCTGCAGGTCACGCCTCCTCTGAGTGTCACGGTGTCAAGACCAAACTTCTCCCGTAATTCATCTTTCCACAAATTTTTCGGCTTTGCGTCATTTCTTCTCCTTTCCTTTTTATTCTCAATTGAATTTCTTCAGAATTTGATCCGAAATTTGGTATCCGTAGATATATTTTTATGCGAGAAATATCTTCGAGATATGTAAATCTTTTTTGAGTATCTTTATCAGTGTACGATGATCGTCAACAAAAAAAAAAAAAAAGAAAAAAAAAATAAGGGAAGTTAATTTTATTCGAGCAAACAAAAATACTTTGTAAGGCTATTTCCATAAATTTTTCGGCTTTTCGTCGCTTCTTTTTCTTTTTTTTTTTTTTTTTTTGTTTTCCCCAATCAATCAGGATCTTACTCGAGATTTGGTACATATATTATGGGAGTATCTTCGAGATACGACGTCGTAAACTCTTCTTCGAGTATTTTTATCGGTTCTGTATGACGTCGACGGATCGTCAAGAAAACGAGCTTCATGTAAGCAAGCAAAAGTGTACATCCTCTCTCTCTTTCTCTCTCTCTCTCTCTCTCTTTCTTTCCTCAGCAGGGGTGAAAGGCGATGAGAAGAGAAAGAGAGAAAGAGAGAAAGAAAGAAAGAGTAGAGAAAGAGAGAGAAAGAGAAAGAGAAAGAGAGAGAGAGACGGAGAGAGAAAGAGAGAGAAAGAGAGAGAGAGAGAGAGAGAGAGAGAGCGAGAAAGAGAGAAAGAGAGAAAGAGAAAAAGAGAAAAAAGGAAGGGTCTCGTCCATCCGTCCATCTTCTCGTCGTTGGGATGACAGGTGCCGGGCCCCTCGTTAGACAAATTAAGCTACGTTCCTGGCCTCTCGCCTCGTTGGTGGCAGAGCGTTGCTCTGTCTCTATTCATACGTCCTTTACTCTCTTCTCTGTCTCACGCGAGCTCGTTCGGGACTGGTTTCGAGTGGACTGCAAACACTCGTGCAGCAGCGGTAGCAGCGGCGGCGGTGGTGGCGACGGCAGCAGCAGCAGCACCAACAGCAGCAGCAGAAACAGCAGCAAAATTCGAAACGTGCGAGCAATAGCAAGACGAGTCTTCTGAACTGAAGTTACGGGGAAAGAAAGAGCTACCGAATCGTGTATGAATAAATTACTTAGGATTTAATTAGGAGAATCATTCTACATTTTTTCTTCGATGTTTAGATTTTGACCCCACCGATTTACAAATCCACTTTTTAATCGGAAAAAATTCATTTTATAAATCGTTCTATTTCTTCTAAAATGAGCGTGCACGTTAATTTACATCGATAAATTAAATCGACGATTCAATTTCCGTAGTAAATTATAGTTAAGTATGAAAATGACGTGAAGTTAGTATTTGAATGTTCTTCTAAATAATATCTGTATTTATGGATGCATATGTCTCGTAAAAATTATCACCTCATCGATTATTTCTTTAACCACCGGACGAGTACGTCCGCTTATCGTGTTTCTCTCGCTTTCTCTCTTTCTCTCCTTCTTTTTTCGTGTCTCTTGAGAAACTACAAAAACGCCTACGCGAGGTATTACCCGTAATGTACGCGTCGTCCATTACACGCCATTATCCATCCATTAGTGTTTCGACGGTGAATTCAACGGTGGTCGAATCCAGAAGGGCCGTGCGATACGAACGAAGCTCCTTTATATTTCTCTCTCTCTCTCTTTCTCTTTCTCTTTCTGTCTCTTTCTTTTTCTTATTTTTTTTTACTTATGGAGGAAGTAAAAGAAGACAAAAAAGTGAAAGACTGAGAGAAAGAAAGCAATCACGAGAGGAGACTACATCGAAGAGATAGCACGAATGACAGGAAGAAAGAGAGATAAAGGAGTCGTAGATGCCCGCAGTTTCCTCTCTCTCTCTTTCTCTCTCTCTCTCTAAACGTCCATTCATTCTTAGCCTATTCATATTACTCAAGTGGAGGCCTACCTGCGTAGCTATTTTATGGTAGGCCTATTAAGCTATAGAAGATCCATCGTGATTCACTTTCGAAGGTGAATCAAAACGAAGACACGATTCTTAGATCTTCGATCTAATACGTACATCAATTTTTTTATTTTTTTTATTTTTTTTTTTATAGGTTTACTTGAGTTCGAAATCTCTAAAGGTACTAAAGGTTACTCGGAAAAAGTCGAGGTGTCGAGTAGGAGTAAGGATCGTAAATCGAGATTGAGATTCAGATCGAGATAGGATCGAACGTCATATGATGATATCGATAATACTACTCGTGCAGGCGGCAGCCTATGCTCTCTTCTTTTTTGGTTTGACGGCATCGGGGATGGATACGGTAGTCCCTCTTTAGCTCGATGCTTTTCGCTCTAAGTGTGGGGCTGACGGGCGTCACCGACAGCGCCGCGGCTAATTTCCCCGGCATTGAGCCGCATTGTGCTCTAAATCGGTCTTCCGCCTTTCCTAAGCCACCTACTGAAACTAGCATCCCTGACATAACGTGTTGTGTACACGCACACACACAAACACGTGATCAACCTTGATCGAGATCTGTTCGAAATTTTGATAACTTTTAATGGTTCGCTTTACGTCGGCTAAGAATAAGAAATCGCTCGAGAATGCGTCGAGAACGAAACAGTGAGAGAGCGAGGGGGAGGGAGGGAGGGAGGGATTAAATGCAAGAAGAAGAAGAACAAGAAGACGAGAGACACCGAGACTCGAGTCCCGTCGAGAGGGATCCTCCCTATCGTGAAGGGTCCACCGCGTAGACAGTCTCACTAATTACGCCGCGCCTCATTAGCGTGGAAGCCCGTTCTCGCTTAAGGACACGTACGCCCACTACTTTCTCTCTCTCTCTCTCTCTCTCTCTCTCTTCTCTTTCTTTCTATCTTTCTCTCTTTTTCGCTCTTCGACTTCGTCAAAGATACGGATTTGTTTCTCCCTCCGGAACAAGCGGAGGAAAGTAGAGACCTCTGTGACACTCTTGGAGTCGTCAGTGCAAAAGGAAAAAGAAAAAGAAAAGAAAGAAGAAGAAGTATTAGCAATTAGAGAAGTTCTTTCTCATTCGTTCTCCGTGTAGAGTAAAGTTCGAAGAGGTACTTTTCTTATTAACACGGTTATGTTTCCATGTATGATCGAAAGGAGAGGTTGAAAAATGATCGATTTTCGATTTTTCATTTTTGTTTTTTTTTATATTAATGAAGACAAACACGAAGACCCTTCTATAATAAACAAAAAACTAAAAGTAAGAAATAGATAGATAGATAGATAGATGGATAGATAGATAGAAAGAAGGATGGATAGATGGATGAATAGATGGATGGATAGATGGATAGATGGATAGATGGATAGATGGATAGATGGATAGATGGATAGATGGATAGATGGATAGATGGATAGATAGATAGATAGATAGATAGATAGATAGATAGATAGATAGATAGATAGATAGATAGATAGATAGATAGATGCTCGGCAAAGAGTCGCTTTGAT